CAGTGACCACCAGTGCCCAGTAAGATGCATTCCTAATGTTAGCAAAGTGATCACTTGTAAAGATCAAAATGTTTACATGGACATAGGGAAAAAAAAAAAAAAAAACAATGCCCCCATAAAAAAAAATTTTTTTTTTTTTTTTTTTTTTTTTTTTGCACAAGCCTGTGGGCCATCAGTGCGTCCTCAGAGAACAAGAAGAGACAAAGAAAGATGTGGGAGGAGGAGTAGGAAGATATCTATGTTTAAGTGATTTAACCCCATAATAATAATAACAAAATAGCCTATTTTGAGTCTTTTGCTTTTTGCTTAGTTAATGCTGAATATCTTGTTTCAGTTATATTTTAGTTGAGTGGATTGGTGCTCCGTAAGCCCCTAAAATAGAATATGGAGATAGAGACAGCAGAAGCAGAATGGTTGCCAAAGTGAAATGATCTGGAGTGCTGAGCACTGCATCAGCCCACACACAGGCCCACCCCAGGATAGTGATGCAGAGAAGTCTTAGATGGTGCTCCCTGCTTAGAAAAATGATGTCAGTATTGGCAGGCCTGAAACTAAACCAAAGGCTAACCAAAATAAACTCATTAAATGTACTTCCCTTCTGTATAGCATAAAACCCCCCATTCTCAGTGCAGTGCACCTTAGTGTTAGGCTTGTGCTCTTCAACAGCGCTGCTGACAGCTTCACAGCCAGCACATAACAGTGCACTTACTAAATATAAGTACTTCATTAGCATCTAGAATACTTCTGCTACCACAAAAATAACAACAAATAGCCATACTGTGGGGAAGGTCAATGCTGCTTGCCAGGAAAGGTGTGCACAAAGCGCTGCATGCCTGGGACAGACTGGATTTTTTAGGCATATTTTTATTCCACAGAAGTTGATAGCCTCAGAATAAAGCAGGCAGAACAGAGGTTTAATTAGGTAGCTGATGTGAACTGTAGCCTCACAAAAATGTGGGGAAGAATATGAAGCCTCATGGGACAGCTCTACTTTTTAAGTTTACGAAAAAAGATGGCTGTTCTTGGTACAATTTCTGAAGTTTCAACAACGATGGGAGTTGCTTTAGGATGGAGATGCATACTCTGAGGGTTAGACATTTTAAGAATCTGAGCTTCACATGAGCTAGCATCCCCAAAACTAAAAACCTAAAGGTCTACACAAAGAACTGGATCAAAGAGAAACCTGAAGGGGGATGTCAGAACCTACATTCTGGAGGCATCAGATGTCCCTGTTCACCAAAATAATTAAAAGAGACGAGCCCTCCGGAGAGGACATCCTGGGTACTGCCATGGAATGTTCCCAGGGGAGAGGCAGTCTATTGGCTCTCGGACAATAGGTTACAGAGACTGGAATTTATACTTTTATACTAGAAATGCATCTTCTCCTCAAGGCTGTTGAAAAACATAGGGGTTTTATCTTCCCAGCAGTGTTGATACGTTGGAGAAGTTATTTCATTATGAGGTGTGTTTATTACTGGTGCATTCACAAACAACATAAAATAGCTATCCAAAGAAGTGAAATGATTCCGTAGTTTTCCTCCTGTATGTAAGACAAAGGAAGAAGTGTCATTTGGCAATGGTGCTGACTTCCAGCATCTGTAATTTGGGATGTATCTATACTTCCCACCTCAGGCCATCTTTGCAGTATGGCAGATTAGAATGCTGGATGTGTCTTGGATGACAGTATTTGATATCCATTATTAACTCAGGTGGTTTTGATCTTGTAGCTTCTTATCCTCAGATAAGATTCTATCCCAAACTTACTGAAACATCTCGATTCAAGTGTGTGAGGGGAAGGAAGGGAAGAATAAATCCTTAACTCATGCAGATTAATATGGATTTATTGACTTCAGGGCATGTTTACACTGCTGAAAATCTGTACCAGAAATTATGATTCTGATTTAAAATTATGATCACCCTTGAACCACATATGTGGAGTTGTTTACTTTTTTATCATTAGCTGTAGGTCCACCTGACCCAAAGAAATTCCATTTAATACAGACCTACTACAAAATTACAAATTGGAGTTAAGTAAATGAGGCTTGGCCATTAAAGGAGGTCTCTGTGGAGTTTAAATACCTGTCTGCCTATATCATATATATTCTTACATTTGTTAAGTTTATCTGGAACTTTTATTGCAAAATTGATATTCCAATTTTCCCCATAGGAGTATTCAGATGAAAATTAATAACTCATAGTGAAAGGGGAGTTACAAAAAACAGCACAAACAGCTCATTTAATAATTTCCATCACGTAAAAAATCAGTCCTAAATATCTGTGAAGATTTTTTTCCTATGTTAAGCGGGACAGACTGACATCAGGAACAACATTACTGGGGATTAACAAAATAGTTTCCAGCCTTCCTTCAGCACTTAAATGCTGAAGGATATTTGTGTACCATTGTTTATTGTGCCATTATAAGCTATATATTAGTTCAAAATCTGTAGCTAATGGCAACAGCTACTCAGCTTTCATCAATTCTAATGCAGAAATTTAATATATAGAGTATATAGTATATATAAAGTAAACTAGTTTTTGGCCCACTCATTTTTCCAGCATTTTCTTAAGAAATAAAATGCAAACTCAAGACATTCCTAATAAGGTGAATGTGACCAAAAAATTGCTTGTTTGTTACATTATATCACTTAAAAATTAGAGGAATCCATCTACTGAAATTAGAAATGAGTTTTTCTATCATTAGAATAACCATTCCTGTAAGTATTGTTTAATACAGAATATTTTTTAATGTATTTTATGGTAAAAATATATTACTTTCCTTTGACAGATGTGTTACCTGGATTCATCATCAGGGACTATAGTTCTTATATATGTATTTATCAGTAAAAAATCAAGACCTAGGTATGCTTGACAATGTTATGTAAAAATATGTAATACTTAGGAAACACACAATGCATAAATATCCTTTCCTCTTCTGCATTTGATTCTTGAAAAATAGTGGATGCAATTTAGCTTTTATCTGTAAAAGCACTAATGGTAACAAAATAGAAAAATGGAGCGAGTGAATTGTTTATATCATGAATCATCCAATGTTTACCTTTCTATGAAACTGGCAATTACAAAAACTGAGAAGAAAAATCCTGTTTTCACATATTCCAGTGTCTCTAGAGAACTGTTCATAGGACTGTGAAGAAAGATTGGGGGTTTTAAGACCGTGTGGAAAAGTTTTGGGTTTTTTTCATTTATTTTACACTGCAAGTGTTAAAAAAAAAAAAAAAAAAAAAAAAAAAAAAAAAAAAAAGTTGGGAAACCTTTGGTTTAAAAGAATTGTTTAATGATGTTTAATCTGCAAGATACACGAGTGAGACTATATGTGGATGCAGGTCTGTAATTCCCATATATACAAGTATTTTTAAGACAGGATCTTGAAGGTTCCCAACTCAAACTATGCTAACTATAAAACATGAAACTTTTCAAATTATTTGGTCTCAAGGATTCCATTTTACATAGGTACATGAAAAAGAACTCACTAATTAATTACCATGTGCAAATAATTTAGTTCTAACTAATGGTTAAATTAGTTTCATATAAACATCTGAAACTTTACAAGACATCAGGCAATCAACGTAGGCAACAATCACTGATTATTCAATTATATAGATGGCCTTCGAACACTAAGTGCTCAGTGAAAATCCATAATTGTATGTGATTATCGAGGCACACCAGTGGGAATTAGGCAAATGTAAATTAAATCACAAACATATAAAAGATCGAGGAACTTGGGGTTTTTATTTAATCTCTCTTGGAAAAGAAACAGTTACCTACAGGAATATGTATGTACCCATTTATAAACACTCCAAGATCTGGAACTTTAAATGTTAGCATGAAAGCAACTTTTATTTTCACCTCTTGTAAAAATAAATTATGTTCTAGCTTTTTATTTCAATGGAGTTCCACCCACTTATTTGCAATCTTAGTGATGCTAATAGTTTATAAAGATACTTGCTTAGGTTTTCACAGCTGCCAGTGGCATTTAGAATCATTAATTTTTGTGAAAAACGGTCTCCCCAAAAAACATTGCCTATATGAAAAGAATTTTGTAGACAGTGTAAAAAACTGATACACCAAGAGAATTCCAGTTGACTTGAAAAACAGTACAATAAATCTAGTTTGGCTAGCTCACATATAACTGGCAATATTATACCCATGAAAACTAATCATTAATTTTTTCCAGTTGCACAGATGTTGCATGCACATATATACTTGATTTTGGCTTCTTGTACTTCTAACCTATTATAAAGTGGTAATCTATGCTTCTTGCCATAATATCAGGCTCCCAGCTGTGCATTAATGATATGACAAACTTCTGTCCATCTCTTCTCACATCCGTTCTCTCAGGATAGATGTCTGTGCAATGTTTCAATTTAATTTTGGGGTTTTTTTAAACTTACATATGTATAAGAAAACAGTTGATACGTGTGAGGCCATGTTCCTCAGTGCTCATGTTAACAAACAGCTAAAGCTGAAAAGCACACCTTGTATGTAAGTAGTAAGGTTTATTATTTGGTCAGGTTCTCAACAGAATTCCTCCTTATGTCTCAGGCTGCTCCCAAGGAATGGACATGTGAAGTCTCTGCCGAAACAAAGACCAACTGTAAGACTGTAGTCTTGCCATTACAGCAAGGCAAAATTTAGGAAGGCAATACTAGGTAGAATGGTTGCAACTCTTCCATTGTAAATGTTTTATTTATTTTATAAATAAATTTATGAAATAATATTTTCTTACTATTACAGTTCAAACACAAGTCAACAAGACCATGCTTAGAGAGTAAAGTAATTTAGAACAGTAAATTTATCCAGTCAAA